ATCCAACCCCCCCACCCACCACCTCCTCCGCCACGCGATCCAACCGCCAGACACTCGGTGGGACTATCCAGCGCGCCTGGCAAAATCCCAGCGAGCGGCGTCGCAAAACAGTGTTGGCAGAGATAATAGGGCAAAGCGCTGGAAGGTCCAAGCGACACAGATCATCAGCCGATCCGAGCCGAGTTTTTGTAATTATGCGTTTTTGCCGTGCAGCGCTAGAGCGCTGCAACAGGCAGCAAAAACGCATATTGCAATGACCCTGTCAGTGTGTGTGTGTGTATGTATGTTTGTATGTGTGTGTGTGTTCGTCTGTCCGGGTATTTCAATTCGCCAACCACGCAAGCTTTGAAGCTGAAATTTTGCCAATGTGTTGCCCAGCCAGGTACTACCCCAGGACCGCGGATTCAATCCTCACGCACGTCTGGGCCCCGCGTACGAGCGCGTGAAAGTTTTGGCGCGAAAATCGCCAACTCGGGAAGGAGAAAAACTAGAAAGCTGAAACCTTGGGAGAATGTTCCCTACTCACGTATGACAAAAAGATTTCAAATTTAGCTTCCCAGGAGTGCCCGGGGCTCACGTATGGGCACGTGAAAATTATGGCAGGAAAATTCATAACTCGAGAATGGGAAAAGCTAGAAAGTTGAAACTTTAGGAATGTTCCATACTCATGCACGACCAAAAGTTTTCAAACTCAGCTCCTTAGGATCGCTAGGGGCTCTCGTATGGGCACGTGAAACTTTTGGCGCGAAAGTCACTAACCCGAGAACGGGAAAAGCCAGAAAGCTGAAACTTTAATGGAATGTTCCCTATTCACGTGCGAGCAAAATCAAGTGTTTAGAAGCGCCCGTGCCCACGTACGAGCGCGTGGAAATTTTGGCGCGAAAATCGCTAATCCGGAAACGGGACAAGCTAGAAAGCTGAAACTTTGAGGGCATGTTCCTTACTCATGTATCACCAAGATCAGGTGTTTAGAAGCGCCCGTGGTCACGTACGAGCGCGTGGAAATTTTGGCGCGAAAATTACTAGCCCGGGAAAGGGAGAAGCTAGAAAGCTGAAACTTTAAGGGAATGTTCCCTACTCATGTACGAGCAAAATCAGGT